ACTGTGTGTGAAAACAAGGCAGTGGCAATCCTCGCCGAGATCCAAGCCGGCCGACCAACTATAATCCACAAAGATGGGGGTGAAATGCTCATTGCCATTGTCCTTGATAGGCCACTGGTGGAAGCGAAAGCACTAGTGGATGACCCTGCGGCATTCGCTCGCGAAATGACGCGAATCCTGCGTGACAAACAAACCCACCCGCTTATCGCCCAAATGATGAAACCAGCGGCAAGCAGTGATCCACCCCCCGCCGCTGCTGCAGCCAGTGGTGCTAGTAGCAGTGGAGTGCCTCACGCTGCCTCACACGAGCAGTTCCAGTGAGCCACACGGAGTGACGCAGAGACCCCAAATTTATCATCCTTGCATTTAGCGTGTAACTTGCCTCAGGTTGAGCGGTGTTGTCACCATGGGGTACTCATGGTTGATTGCCACCTGCTGAAATTACCTCTGCTGTCAGCATGTCGGAGCCAATCGGGGAAGGGAGGCGGTAGGGGGCGGGTATCATAATCCTGTTCTGGTTTTTTTGATTTGTATTTGTTCATGTTGTGCTACCTTAATTGTTGCATGGTAGTTTAGGGCGATGTCAAAGTACATCAAGCCATGGCGCCCGTTGCTGTTTTGCTCAGGCAATCCAGTACCTGCATTGCTTGAATGCCACCTGACCATATGAGCTCAGTGCAACCAAGTGAAGTAGTATGCCTGCCTCAAGAACCCCAGACTCACAATGAGGCACAGGATCTCCTCCTTTTGCAGGACTATGTGCACAGACTGACGAATACTCTCAGAACTTTGGAAGACACCCACGCCGTATTGCAGCAAACAGAACTCCTTGCAGGTGTTATCAACGAGCAAGACTGCAGAGACATTCGCACAGCCTGCTGTTGCATAAGAAGTCTGCGCATTCGAGTAGAAGCCCGTGCCAATGTTACAGAACGTGAAGTGATTAGTCGACAGCTACAGCTCATGCATGCGAGCGTACAACATTACCGGACTGAGGACCTTAACACAGCTGACACAAGTTGCCTGTCCAGAACCTCGTTTGAACACTTTGAGAATAGACCTGGTCCCTGGGCAGAGAAAAACGCTCGTATTCCTACACCAAGGTAACTGAGCCAGCTACCATGATCACCTGACCACATTTAATGCAGTTGATTTCAACACCTGCTAAGTTGACCGCTTGAGCTGCGCAACGCTTGCAAGCCTGCATCCATGCTGTCGAGCTCGCCCTTCGCGAACTCGATCGCATTGGATTCAGTTTTGAAAGCGGTATACACCGCCAGACTGCACTGCAACTCCCATATATATGGCTACAATCCCCCATATCACGAAGATGCATTGCATATCACAATTTCGTTGCAATATGATGATTGGAAAAGCAGTACTGAGCAGACTCTGAGGGTTCCTGAGTGCTGTTACCGCGCCGTCTTTTTCACCCTAGATCACGTTTCACTCTCCTGTTTCACTGCGGTAGTTTCTCACCACTTTGTTGTGACCCGGCGTTGTCGGTGTTTGCTTCAAGGTGTTAGGGTGTTCAATGTCATGCCGTGAAGGCTGCTCGGTGTGATCTCGGGGATCCTGGCTGGGGGGATCCCTGGTTTCCGCATTGAGCCTTGTTGCTTCCCACACCCTTCAAGTGGCCCATGGTGATTTCGTCTTTGGTCTTGTTGTTGTTTTATTTTATGGGCCTGCCAACATGACACACAAGTTGTCATCTGCATGCGCTGAGATGATAACAAGCTATCACCTCTCGCCTCAACAGATCTGTTTCACATATAAACTGGAATCTGTCACGTCACGGTTTTGTGGCCTTGTGGCTGTTTTTCTTTTGTGTGGTTTTTGTTTGTTGTTTGGGTTTGTTTTGGTGTTTTTGTTTTGCTTTGGTTCTTTGTTTTTCGTTTTTGGGTCTCCGTTTTTGAACCCTGGAACGTGACAAGCCTTTGGACTATGTATCGGTCCTTTTCCAGTTTACTTTTGCGGCCACTACAGCATTGGCCCCTGTGCGAATTAAATAATTAATGTCATTTGCAACAGGCTTAGATAGCTGTTGAACGACCTGGCGGAAGCCGCATGGCGTTGGACGGAAAAAAAAGACTTGTCCATAGTTGACCCAACGTGAGCTGTCCTCGCTTGAGGATTTGACTGAGAGTAGCTAAGCCTTCGTTGGCCGAACCGTCCAACAGCCGGATCATCGCATCTGCAAGGTTAGCCGGCATATAATAATTTCGGTCACTTCGCAGCCCATGCTTTGGACAGCAGGAGCTGTCGTGATCGTTTCGCGTTGCGGGCTGCCCGATCAATGCCGCCAGGTGTTTGCTCTGAGTCCCCTGTCCACAAGACTAAGGGTTGCTGTCTCAGCAAGCTGATGACTGCAATTTCCCGGTCAGTACCATATTGCTGGCCTTCATCAATGACCAGGAGGGAGAGCTCTTGCATGAAGCTACCCATTGTGGACCATTGCATGGTAAGATTCTGGGCTACAGTACCTCCGGTGGCTAAAATTAACTGGCACTTATTCAGCATTTGCCTTCTTTCTCTCGGGTGTATGTCAAATTTCGTGTGGGAGTAGCTGCTCTTGTTCCGTTCTTGGTCTCCCACTAGCTTACCTATGCGCCCAAACACCCCCGACGGGGGGTCGAGCCATAGAAGGAGGTCAGCAAAGGATCTGGTACCGGAGTTCTCTTTACAGATGAAAAATATTTTGAGACTATCAGTGACATCGATTTCAATTAAGGCCAGGATGAGGATTGCCATCGATTTTCAAATTGGGCATGTTCGAGGAACTGGAAACGTCGCTGACCATTTTACCAAATGTTTGCCGACGATCAAAGCGTTGCAGTACATGGAGGTACTTGGTTTTTCGTCGTTTGAAGGTATTTTTTTGGATTGTTTGCTCGATTTTGAAATCTGCGACAACAGTTTCTCAGGTATTTTGTGTGCGTTTTCAAACAGAAACTGCATGTTTTGTGGAGAGTTGATTTGTGAAGAACCTGCAAATTCAACAGCTTGTGAATTGCCGTCATTTCCACGTTCATGCATTCAAATGATCAATGCACTTGTAGCTGTTTGCGAAAGGTTTCAAGGCGAGGGAATCGGTTCCGCTATGGCTGGACGTATCCCTGCAGAACGAGAGGAGCCCAGAGCGCCGGACAGCCATGCGCTCCTTGGGCATCCAATGGCTGAAGGTGTCGGTGCGGCACCAGAGTCTGATGATACGGTTACCATCGTTGGTGGTGAAGCCAAAGCTGCGACTGTTGTGGTGACATCTGCAGAGGCAGTGTTGTCAGAAGATGTTGTGGCAGTGCCGAAGGCAGCAGAGGCTGCAGCTCCCCCTGCCGCTACTGAGGCGGTACCTGGTGCAGCAGAGGCTGCAGTTGTCGAAGCTGAGGACGTCGTGGAGGTCACTCCAAAGAAAGCTCAGCCGCCGAGACCCAAGAAGAAAGCCATGCCTGCTCGAGGCAGACCTGTGGAGAAAGCTGGACCGTCAGGAAGGTCTCAAGCCCCTGGACGTGAACCTGCTGTGAAGAAGATGCCCAGGAAGCCTGGTCGTTTTGTGATTCAGGTGAAGAAAGAGGCCTGGGAGGCCACTGGTTTGCTGAAGAGACGACGCGAGGCTGGTCGTCGTAAGGCCAAGCGTCAGGCTTGGAAGAACAGGCAGAAGGAGGCACTCGAGTACTTCGCTGCACAGAGGAGAGAAGAGGAATCGAGGCCAACACCTACGTTTGAGGTTGTGACAGGGTCGAGGTTGCCAGGTCAGAGAAGGGTCGTCCGAAGGATGTACAACCCTCAGTCACACAAGAGAGAGGAGTTGCAGATCGATACAAGAAACCCGAAAGCTGAGGAAGACAAAGGACCCGCCTTTGTAAGGTCCTTCAGTGGATTCAGCTGGAAGAATCCGAAAGGTCTGAAGTGTGGTCATTGTGGACAGAGAGGCCACATTATCTCTCAGTGTCCTGAGATGGAGAGAAGGGTGAGCCTTACTCATGGGCGTGTGACTCTGACGCCACGAGGACAGCACCAGCCAGACTCTACTGTGGGCGATGAGGTTGCCCCGGGTGATTCAATTTCACAGGTTGGATTGACCCAGGAGACACTGAGGTTGCACAACAAGAGGCTGAGAGGCCACGGTTGGTCCGAGGAGACCCCAGCAGCCGAAGGTAGCCCTCCGAGAGCCCGTCAGAGGACTGGGATGGGTCCCCCTCAGACGCCACCGAAGAGAAGCGGCCAGCTTCCGGCCAGCAGCAATGCGGCAGTGGCGATGGGTCCGAAGCCGCCTGCACACCCGCCGAAGGGGTGGGTTCCGCAAGGGCCACAACAACCGCCTGCACCACCCAAGCTCCCTGTGAAGGCCCCTCCAGTGAAGCCTTCTCCAGCCAAGGGCCCACTACCACCACCGCCAGCGCCTCCGGCGCCACCTCAGGTACCACCGCCACCACCAGTTCCAGCAAGAGTTTCAAGTGCGCCAAAGACGCCACCCAAGACGCCTCCAAAGGCGAAAACTGGAGAGCCCACATCGCCGGCCTAAGGCGAGCCCCGGTGCAAAGGCATCACCAGCTGTGGAGAAGCTGAGACAATTGCCCCTTCATCGGGGTACAGTATGTCTACTTTGGAGGCTCCTAGGACTTAGGGGACTTATAAGTTCAAGCTAAGTGGACTTATAAGTGGGGTAAGTATATGTTAAGTAGTTGTTATATGGCCTAAGTTGTTGCTATGCTATACATCGCTTAGGTCGAACATAAGGGGGACTTAGGTTACTTATAAGTGGAAGCGTCTACAACATGACAAAAGATAGGTTGAACTTAGCTTTCACTTAGCTTTTTTTGAAAAGGATGTTTTGGGATAGTTGTTTGAAAATGTTGTGAAAAAGAATATGTTTTCAGTGATATGACAAGTATGATGCATGACTTTGAAATAGAATAGTTTGGAGGATGGCGAGCAGTGTGATGTCACATGTTTGCGCAGCCATTGGATAACTCGGTGGAGCCATATATGTTGCCGTAGTCATGGCTGTGTGTATGAAGCAGCTGCAGGCGGCGCAAAGATTCCTAAGTGGAATTCGCGAGTTGGCGACGTATGCCAATTTTGTTGAGAAGCAGGCTGCTGGCGTAAAGAAATCTTTGGAAAAAATGCCGGCAGTGAGTCCAGGGGAAGCCGCAGGACTTCTTGGAGCTATAGATCCACAGGTCTGGAGCCCTTCCCACGTGGAAGGGTTTCGGTTGCTTTTGGCGAGCAAGACGAAAGCTGTGGTTGCAGATAATGTGCGTACGACGCAGCAAGATTTTGCCACTTTGCCTTTTTTTTTGACGGAAGAATTATGTCAGAAAATTTTAGGTGAGGGTACTGACAGAGATCAGTTGCTTTTTGACGTGTGCGCCCACGCGGCGAAGCTGACGTTGCGGGTTGCAACGGAAGGTAGCAAAGCAACGATTATCGCGTTGGCCTACTGGACACAGTTATGCCAAGGAATGACTGCGAAGGAAAAATACAACTTGTACCTGCAGAAGAAGCCCGTTGTGACAAAGTACTTGTCTGTGCCTCCATCGTCCACGACCATTTTGGAGTTGCCTGTGTCATGGAAAGATTTGCCCAGTGAAGTTGCACAGTCTGTGTTTCCTACGGGGAAACCGATGGAGCGGAAGGAGTTTGCTGCTGATGTCATGCAATTCGTGCGCAATATGCCTTTGCGAAAGGATCATAAACTTCTGCAGGGGGAAGCGGACATCGCTGCAGGTTCTGTGTCCTCAGGGTCTGCATCGTCTGGCTTAAGTGTGGATGCGATCTGCAAGGTCGTAGAAGCATGTTCGCGGGGAATGCAGAATGCTGGGACACAGCAAGTATTATCGCTGTCGAGTCCGGTAACATGTCCGGTGCCTGCGCAAAAGGAGCTGTTGGCGATTGAAGATGGTCTTGTGGAAGAGAAGACACCTACGGGGTGTCTTCCAAAAAAATCTGTGCAAGACGAGCAGAAGGATCCGGAGATGTCAGTGGAACAGCAGTTGGAAGCATTACAAGGCAACGCTCGTTTGTTGGAGGAAGCAGCTTTGAAACGTCCTGCGTCAAAGAAGGGCTTGAAGCGGCCAGCAGCTGCAAATGGCACGGTTGCGTACGCCGCAATTTGTGCCGCTGAGGGATCTACGGGATCATTGCAGGGAGGGACTGGCAGGAGCTATAGCATCACAGCTCCAGTTGCTCCTTGATATTGTTGAGGCAGAGAAAAACAGAATTTTGATGATTTTTATTGCACCTCCTTGCGGGACGGCAAGCAGAGCCAGGGGAAGGCCAATCAAAAGCTCTTTGCTCAGAGGGCGCAAAGCACCAGCCCCACTTCGTAGTGATTTGCAACCAGACGGATTGGACAACCTCGAAGGTCTCGACAAGCTCAAGACCGAATTGGCAAACCAATTATATGAAGGAATTACGAAACTGATTCTTTTTGCAGCAGGATTGGACATTTGCGTTGTTGTGGAGAATCCTACTAACAGTCTTTACTGGAAGACTTCATTTGCGCAGAAATTCCTCACAATTTTAGGTGGTTACATGACGGACTTCCATAACTGTTGCCACGGTGGCTCCCGAGACAAGCTTACTTCCTTTTGGAGCAACAAGGATTGGATGCAACCACTTCAAATGTTTTGTGATGGCCAGCATCAGCACCAAAGCTGGAGACCAAAGATTCGAGATGGACGCTTGGTTTTCCCCACAGCCGAAGAGGCAGCATATCCCTGGCTTCTTTGTGCTAGAATCATTAACTTGGTCTTGGACATGGCTCAACGTTTTGGAGCCGTCATGCATGCCACTTTGGAAGAGCAAATGTCTGACAAGGATTTTTCCTTAATGAATAGATATATTTTTGAAGCGCTGCCCAGATCCACGAAGTTACGCCCACTGGTACCTGAATTTTCCCACTACACATATGTTGTCACCCCTGCACAACATGTGGATCTTTGCGCTCAAGTGCTCACACTTTTTCCTAAAGGAGCAAAAATATTGTCCCGCAGACTCTGGACCTGGGGAACTTTTCGGGCGGAACAATTCCGTGGTGAATGCGTTTTTCTGGAAATCTCGGAGGTCGACATCTCAAAAGATCAGACAGTGGAATGTCACCATGTGGGGGTCCCACACGACCCTATGGCCTTTTTGGAGAAGGCAATTGATGCAGGACACCCCAAAGATCTGGAAAGGCATGTTGACCCCACAATGCATGAAGTGCTCATGGATAATTTCCACAGACCACCACACTTGTTGGCAGGTAGGCGCATTGACTTCATCAAGAAGTACACTCAACTCGCCACGACATCCAAAGCAGAAGAGCTTAAACTGAGACTCAAGATGCCGCCGCACATCCGGAAGTTGATGAAAGGGAAGAGGCTTCATTTACTGGGTGTTATGCTGGCTGACTTGGGTTTTCCAGATAAAGATCTTTTACATGGCCTCTGCAATGGGTTCAAGCTCAGTGGATGGATGCCTGACTCCAATCTTTTCCCGCGCAAGGTGAGAAACCCTACACTGACTGTTGATGCGTTGAAGCAATCCTCGAACTCCTTCAATGAGAAAGTCATGCAACAAATGAGCATCCGACAGGAGGGCGTGCTCGAACAGGACACCTGGGGTGAGACTGAGCATGAGATAGAGCAGGATTGGATTTGGGAGGACACCACCTCCGACTGGACTGGGAAGTCGGTTGCGCGGAGATTTGGGATACGACAGGGAGGAAAAACCAGAGTCATAGATGACTGTACGGTTTGTGGCTTGAACTTGACGGTGGGTACAAAAGAGAAGTTTGCCTTACAATTGATCAACTATGTGGAATGCTGGACCATAGCTTCAAGTGCTCGAAAGGGCAACACTGCAAAGTACTTGTGAGGACATACGACTTGAAATCGGCCTACAAGCAGTTTGGATTGTGTTCCCATGACAGAGATTTTGTGAGCATCGCAGTGAACAAACCCGGGTCCAAAGACCCGATACTGCTGGGGCTAAATGCCTTGCCCTTCGGGGCAATTGGATCGGTAGCTGGTTTCTTGCGTGTCTCCTTTGCAATTTGGTGGATCGGAGTTTTTGGAATGGGCGTTGCATGGAGTGCTTATTTTGATGATTATTCCTCCCTTACAAGGCCTGAACTTGCTTCCAACACCCACTGGGCTATCTCCTCACTTTTTGAGTTGATTGGTTTACAATACGCCAAGGACGGGTCCAAGGCACCACCTTTCAGTGACGTTTTCAGGATGTTGGGTCTGATCGTCAACATGGTCGAGGCACCCTCACTGCGCTTCTCGGTGGGTCACACTGATGAGAGGATCACAGAACTAAAACAATGTTTGAGAGACATCGTCAGTAATGGACAGTTGTCCACCAAAGAAGCTGAGAGAGTGAGGGGAAGGATGCTTTTCTTTGAATGCTATGTCTTTGGAAGAATTGCAAACCTTGATTTGAAGGAGTTTGGAAACCTTTGTCGTCTTGGAAGGACGTCGTGCGTTTTGGATGAATGTGAAATTTTGGTCGTTCAGAAGTTGCTTGTCCGGTTGGAGTCCGCAAAGCCCGTACCTCTCGGAATCAACAACCTTTCAACCTGGATAATCTTCACTGATGGGGCCTGTGAAGATGGATCCACCACCGGGAGCATTGGCGGTGTTCTAGTCGCACCCAATCACCGAGTGGTTCATCATTTTGGTTGCGACGCAACCCCAGAGGTGATGCGCCACCTTTTGCGTGCCTCAAAGCATCCGATACATGAGTTGGAGATGATTCCCGTACTAGTCTCTTTTAGACTTTGGGGACACCTCATTCGAGGATGCCAAGTCGTTCATTACATAGATAATGAATCGGTCAGGTTAGCGCTCTTGAGAGGGAGCGGTGAAACCGCTGTTGCAAAGCATGTGGCTGCCAGGATAATGGATTCGGAGTACCACTTGGGAACGAAATCCTGGTATGCAAGGGTACCGAGCGTTAGCAACTTGGCTGACGACCCTAGCCGTGGAAACTTTGATACCTTGACGAAACTTACATAGATAATGAATCGGTCAGGTTAGCGCTCTTGAGAGGGAGCGGTGAAACCGCTGTTGCAAAGCATGTGGCTGCCAGGATAATGGATTCGGAGTACCACTTGGGAACGAAATCCTGGTATGCAAGGGTACCTAGCGTTAGCAACTTGGCTGACGACCCTAGCCGTGGAAACTTTGATACCTTGACGAAACTTGGGAGCACCTTTTTCTCCGTGGACTGGTTGGACGTGCTTGCGAGCTGTGGTCCATAGTGGGGATTACAACGGATCTCGAAGCAGCGTTCCCCACAGATGAAAAAAGGAGTTGCGTTTGATTCCCTCGTTCGTCGGCACTCATTTTGTTTTCCATGTTTTGCGCGTGTACGTATGTTGTACTTAATATATAAGTACGGAATATCATATGTACACTTTTCTGTGCGGTTCTTTTGACTTTTTAATTTGGTTGTGTTGCAGTAATGCGTAGCCGCGGTGGTTTCCAGGTTTCCCTTTGAAACTTATTGGAATAAGGGTCCCCTCCGTCTGAGGAACGAAGTAAGGATGAACCCTTTATTCCTTTAAGTTTCTCTGTCTTTGAACACCTGGTGTTCAAAGACTTTTTGGGTAACCTGGAAATATCAACCTCTAAACTTCCGTGCGCTACGCGTAGCGTAGGAGGGTACGCGACGGTTACTGCAACAAACCTTTTTTTTCTTATTTAGAACAAAATGTCCAGTAATATGATGTCATGTACAGAACCTGTGCCTTCTGGAACTTAGCAGTCTTCTGTTCTTATCAGTGTGAAACTTTTGATGTTTCAAGGTGACGTGCTGTTCTTGGCAGGGATCTGTTCTTATCAATGTGACATCTATCTTACATGTGGGCATTTTGGTCTCAAGTGGCATCCCCCACGAAATTTTGTTCACCCACCCTAAAACTGTGGTCATCTCCACGTTTTTTTTCCCAACCCGGGGAAAGGGATGCCTAACCCTACCGTTATTACAACGGATCTCGAAGCAGCGTTCCCCACAGATGAAAAA